TTTTTTTTTTTTTTTTTTTTTTTTTTTTTTTTTTTTTTTTTTTGCAGCTTGCTTTTAAATTTAGTAAGCTATCTTAGACATTTTAAGCTATGGTGTGCTATTTAATGTAGGTGCACTACTTCTGTGTGTAGAGGTTCCACAATTTCGCCTCCTGCTTTTTTTACTTAATTTTATATTATGAGCATTTTCCCATGTCCTTGGCTTCATATTGCAGCACATTATAAATTTTTACTCACATAATACTATGGTGAGCATTTATGGGCATAAACTACTGATTGGTTTTTCCGGTTATGATTTGCTGAGAATTGGGATGACTAGGTCCAAAGTTAAGAATATATTTACGGCTCCTGATAATTATTGGCAAGCTACTTAATAGAAAGGTTGTATGAATTTATATCCTACCAGCAGTGTCTGAGTTTGGCTCAGACCTTTGCTATCATTTAATGTTATCATTTCTTTAAAGTTTTTGCCAAATTGATTAAGGACATTTAATTGTTTAATTTTTATTTCCTTGTTTGTTGGTGAGGTTGGACATTTAAAAAAAGTTTTTAAAATTATTTTTTAATCACAGTTTATATTTAATATTATTTTGGCCCTAACCAGATGGCTCCTGATACTCCAAGGTTGTGAGTTTGATCCCCAGTCAGGGCACATAGAGGAGTCAACCAATGAATATATAAATAAAATAAGTGGAACAATAAATCTATGTTTCTCTCTTTTTCTCTCCCTTTCTCTCTTCCTCCCTCTCTCCCTCCCTCCCTCTCTTTCTCTCTCCCTCTCCTTTCCTCTCTCTCAAATCAGTAAATTTAAAAAATTTAATATTATTTTGTATTAGTTTCAGGTGTACAGCACGGTTAGACAATCATATACTTTACAAAGTGTTTCCCCAATATTTCCAGTACCCACCTGGCACCCTACATATTTATTACAATTTTATTGACTGTATTCCCTATGCTACACTTTACATCCCCATGACTGTTCTGTGACTTCCAATCTGTACTTCTCAGTCCCTTCACCTCTTTCACCCAGTCCCCCAAGCTCTCTCTCCTCTGGCAACAGTCTATTCTCTGTATCTATGAGTCTGTTTCAATTTCATTTGTTCATTTATTTTATGCTTTAGATTCCACATATAAGTGAAGAGGGTGAACATTTTCAAGGTTAATTTGCTATTTGCATTTAGTGGGAAGCTCATGTAAGCAATCTTTTCTTGGAGCCATAATATATTGGTTGAGACTGTTTTGTGAGTAAAAACCTGATTTAGCTAGTGTAAGCCCAAAGGGGAATGTATTAGGTGAATGCTGAGATGTCCCAAGGACCTCTCTTTGGTTCAGGGAAGATGACAGATTGGGGCGTAGACTCTCAGTCCCAATTCCAAATCACAGGGCAAGGATGTCTCCCAGCGTGAGTCAGGTGCTCTTGCCTGCGCCTGGAAACAAAGCTGTGTATCAACACGGTTGCTCTTGGCAGAGCCCTCTGGATGGGGGTTAATGAGATGGGAGAGCAGTTCACAGAAAATCATGAGTGCTGAAGAGACAGAATAGAAGGTACTCCCCACATCTCCAGAACTGATGCTGCTTTTTTTATTCTTCAAAATCTGAGCATGGAACATCTTAAATGTCCTTGACAGGAGAGGAGCTTCCCAGTGAGCCCTCAGGGGCCGGCTCCCCCAACAACCGCTGCTTTCTCTTTGGACCTTGTCAGTGCAGTGAGTGTTCAGCTGTTCTGGGCATTAGGGCCCTGCAGGAAGTGTCAGAATGAAGAGGGGAGGGACCCAGAAGGGCATGTGATTGAGAGGTGGTGACAGTCATTTCTTCTCTGAAGCAGTCCCGTTGAACTCCTTCCACAGCCACCTTCACACTCGCTTTGACTACTTTTAATGAAGCACCAGGAGGATTTGTTCACTGGGAACGCTGGGTAAACGCCCTGAGTATCCAGCTTCTTTCACGACCTCTTGGGCAGCGACAACATTTAAAAGGAGGAAAAAAAACTCCATACTCTAAGAAATAGTTTTTCCTTTCAATCACAGTCACAAAACACTGTTCTAATACCTATATAAATTCTCTTTTACCTACAAGGCCTGTATTGGCTCAAGTTTTATATTTATTGTATATTCATAGTCTCTTAAACCCCTTAGGAATTTAACAAGTGAGAAAAGGAAACATTGGCCTACGTGGAATCCTGCTTAGGATTCTGAAAGACTTCAGTTCCATGAATACTGGTTGAAAATAGAAGAGAATGAGTTGGGGGAGGCTCGCTTGCATTCTCTCTGGTTCCTGGTGGGTTCCCCAGGTCCCTTCCTCAGGGCTCCACCTGTAAGTCATCCCGGCCATACGCTCTTTGCCGTTGAATCCTAGATGCGAGTTCTGGACAAGCTGATGGCTGAGCGGCTCTCAGCAGAGAGGACAGAGTGCCTGAACCGCCTGCAGCAGCACTCGGACACGGAGAAGCACGAGGGCGAGAAACGACAGGTGAAAACCAGTATCTGCCCGTCCTTAGCTCGTGATTTTCCACGCTTCTCCCTGGAATTAAAAGACAGAGACCTATCATTGAAAACTCAGAGGCTGAGGCTCCCTAACGGGTTTACAGCACACAGCATGTCATTTGCATAACTGCAGTGAAGTTAATAGGGAAGGACCTGTGCTTCAGTTCATGTTTGTTGCTGAATATGCCAGCAATAGGCGGGGACTGAAAAGTTCATAGAGCATGCTGGGGGAAATGCGATGTCTGCCCTGAATCATTTCTATATATTGTGCATTCATCGGGCCATTGCTCTGTTGAACAAGATTTGGTTCCTGTCCTCAGGGTAGACAACAGGCATAAAGTGAGCACTGTGTGCGTGTGAGAGTCCATGCTCCTAAGCAGGGAGAAATGCATGGGAAGACCTGGGTGTTTGAGTTGAAGGTGGCTCTAAGTCACTTAATGAAGATTACAGACACTATCAGCCTGCGTGTTGTGTGAATCCTGGCCTATAGAGAGCAAGCAGAGAAGGCTGTGTGGCCCGTGGGAGGGCACGTTATCCACAGCTTTTGGGCTTGTCAAGATGGTACCTCAACTATCGTAATTAAAAAGTCCATTCTTCATGCTTTAATTCATAAACCAGGTATTAAACTGACCTGATTGTTTTCTGTGTTTTTTAGATGTCCTTGGTAGATGAATTAAAAACCTGGTGCATGTTAAAGATTCAGAATCTGGAACTGAAGCTTTCTGGAGATTCTAGGGCCTCTAGGACTAAGTCCACACCGTCTACTTGCGAGTCTTCTACAGGTAACCCTCATGCAGAGAGAGAGCCATTCCATCCAAAGGTGGTGAAACCCCCCAAATCTTGTCTCCTACATCCAAAGGCAGCTCATAATGGGCTGTAGAAAGACTGGATTGAAGAGTGAACTGCAGGGGTAAGGACCAGGTTTTCCCCATTACCATAGACTCAGTTCCTATGTAGCAATAAAGCGCCCCATCTAAGTGCTCAAAACTATCTGAATGAAGGAATAAAAGAATTGATTTGATTGTTAATAGCAGTACTTCTGGTACAGTGTTGACGGTGTCAAAGTGGACCCCAAAGATACTGGGTCATGAATGGGCATCTGTCTCCTCAGCAGGTGCCCTTGTACCTCTTTGCCCTTTCTCCTCTGTGATTGTCCTTTGACCTTTGTCCAACTCTGTAAAACCTCATTACGTGCACTTCATATATTGAAGTTACCTCAGGTGCTAGATAAGAGATGCTTCCAGCAAAACATCTTTATATTAGCCACAGTGACTACTCTCCATGATAATTTTGAGGACAGATACTTAGTAATTAGGCTTCCATGGGGGATTTTGATCTGTCAAATATCTTATGTTACCACAGACCATCTCTGGAACTGTGGTTTTATCTTCTTTATGCTCATAACAATGGGGAAAATCCTTGGCAAATTTTTCATGCTAGGACTAGGTATGGAGCTTGGCCTGGAGCCTTGTGCATGCGGAGTACGACCGCCTTTTCAAGTTGCAGCTTGGGCCCATGAACTAGTAACGGGCTTGGTGTGGAAAGGGCCCGGGAGTCAGCATGGGGATATTCACCCTTATCAATAAGTGCCCAGCTCTGTTTGGTGAGCTGCGTCACACTTAGCAATCAGGAAATGGTACCCAGGGCCTTCTAGAGTGAATTGAGACAGGCCAAAGGAAAGGCCAGCACCTACTTTGGCTTAGATGCCACCAGCACGGCTAACACAGTATCCCTGAAAGCCTTGACAAGCCAGAGTGATGATCAGGAGTGAAGAGGGAAGGGCAGAGGAGAAGGTGCACACTGTGGCGGGGTTGGGAAGGCTAGTCTATGGGATTCTCAGGACTCTCAGAGGCTGACCTGCAGCCATGCGACCGTGTGAATGCGGATTTGCTCTGACTTGTGTTTTTCTTCCCAAACCAGGTGTGGATCAATCAGTGGTGACGACGACAGGTCCAATAGCAGCTTCTGACAGTTCTCCTCTGGTGGTTAGGCCCAAGGAAAAGGCCCTCAACTCCACTGCTGCCCACAGACTCCAGCAGGAGCTGTCTTCCTCAGACTATATGGCCTCCCGGCTCAGGAGTGTCAAGGTCCAGACAGCCTTGCTGCCCTTGAAAGAGGCAGCCAGATGTGATCAGCAGGCTGGGCCCTGCGTCGACAGAGGCACCCAAACCAAGAAGTCTGGGAAAAGTGGGCAAACGAGGCATCGAGCCCAGCAGCCAGCAGCCAGCACCACGTGCGGGCAGCCACCGCCAGCAACAGGCAGCGAGCAGACTGCCCCTCACATTCGAGACACCTCCCAGGCTCTGGAGATTACGCAGTACTTTTTTGAGGCTGTTGCCACCCAGATGGAAAAGTGGTATGAAAGAAAGATTGAAGAAGCACGAAGCCAGGCCAGTCAGAAGGCCCAGCAAGACAAGGCCACACTGAAGGAGCATATTAAAAGTTTAGAAGAGGAACTTACTAAACTAAGGACCAAGGTGCAGAAGGAAAATTAGGACCTGGAAGTGGCACAGGAAGGATCCTTGAGGATTTCTAGTATTGCGACAACGGAACAGCTGTGCCCAAGGTGTCAGTTATTGTGCACGTAGCAGACTCGCCTTTAAAAAAAAAAATCACTAGTTTCTAAAATGTGCCAGACACACACGTTTCCTATGCCCTGAAGTTATGAAGACTTCAACAATTAAACCAAAACCAGGGAAAGTTTGCTTAGTTTCAGGTTGCATTACAAATTTAAAACCTCAGTCTAGGTTCATCTGAAGTTCAAAAGCTCAGATTAAGTGAGGCGCTAAGACACTGAATGATGTGTAAGCCTAAACCCTGAAATTCAGGATGTACAAAATAATATAAATCAAAAGCAAGGAAGAAAAGTTAATCCCTCCTGAACTCAAATCAAGCAGTCATTCATATAAACACACCTGCTGTGCCTAGAAGAGAGTCTTTCTGTAAGAGCTGTAACAGAGCTGCGTTAAACCCTGTCTCAGATGCATAATTCCCAGAATGCTGACATTTTAACCAGGTGAAAACAGAGTTTGAGGAGAGAGAGATTTTCATGATGTCACAAGATCCAGTGTAGCTTAAATGTTTTAAAAATGAGTCATTGGTTAATAGCACCAGGAATGTTTGTTAATAATGACCTCAAATGAGAACGATTCTAATCTTTTAAATATGGTTTCTGTATTTTCAGCCAAAGTATAGAAATACTACAATCAGTTAATCCTTGTGATTTTAAAGCAGATAAGTGGAAAAATTCACCTAACAGTTACCTGAAATTTCTATAACCTCTTCAGAATCAAATTTATCTCAGAGTACCTTTCTGAATTTGAGTTTACTAGTCTGTATTTTGTAAAGAAACTAGGCTATTTCTTGAAAGTATTTCATTTTTAATTGAGTTCTGTCATTAAAAAAACCCCAAAAACTTTCCCACAGCTTCACAGTGACTAAGTCAAGGCAACTAACTCAATGACTCGATTCAGACCCCTCCATGCCTCAGCTTCACAGAGCTCTAAGGATTTTAGTCTGCTCTGTAGGATATACAAAGTTATAAAAGTAGCTTCGATGTGTTGAATCTTTTAATTATCTTCTAGATTTCTTGTCCCTTAGAATGTGGGATTATATTCATCTCCTCAAAATTCCATGTATGCATAGAAACCTCAGTTCTAATTCTATAAACAGGAACTGAGTAACTATTGTCTGTAATTTTGAATAAAATGCTGCTCATTGAGCCAAAGAGAAAAGAATGACTTCTTGACATGGAAATATTCAGAAAAACAAAGTATGTTTTCAGTCCCTTTGTTTTTTCTGCCTTCCAAACTCACAGTTGCTTCTGTTTTTCTTAATAGCGACAATCTATGGATATAGACATTCCTCATAAACATAGATGTATGTCAGCATTACAGAACCTGGATAGGGAATTAATTTGATGCCCTTAAGCTTATTTCCATGTTGGTAAACTTGTCTTGTTCAGCTACTGTGTAGGTAGATGGTTCTTCCCCAGAGACTCTGGATTGCTACCTGTAGAGGTACTTTCCTCTTTTCGTGTTCCAGATGCAGAATCACGGAACTGTGGAGCTAGACGGTACCTTCGGACCGTCGCGTGCTTTGGTCGGAAGTATTTTGACTGTGTGCCTCCTACGCACCAGAGCAGGCAGCTTGTTACTGTGAACTAGATGTTTCTGTCTAAGTCTCTTAGGGAGTAGACTAGGGAGGGATGAGAAAGGTCCACTGCACCTAGTCTGCAGAGTACACAGATCTTGTTTCTCAAAGACTGGAAAGCCTGTAATAGAGGCAAGGAAGTAGAACAGGGTCAGCCCGCCTTCTAACCCAGAGATGGCAGCATCTCAAGACCAATGCAATAGCTTTTCTAACAACTGCGTTTGGTCTGTTTTCGTTCCTTATTGTCAAAAACTCAGCTATGGGTCCGATGTGTATTTTTCCTTCTTTTTCCCTTGTGCTATCTGCTAAAACGAGCAAATGCTACAATAGTACTTTTCCAATGAAGCAGAACTATTAACTATGTATAGCCTGTCATGTAGGTCGTGTTTCCAACTAAGGCTGGAACTTTCAGCTGTGGGGAAAATGTTGTAAAATACCTAAAAGTTGTACAGTATTGCAATGTTTTTGTTATTGTTGTTAGTGCATTATTGCATTTGAGTATAGTAAATATCTGTGATAGACTGAATATCAGTTCTAATCTTTCTTTTGACTGGGAGCCCAAAATAAAGGAAGTGATCTTTCCATGTTATATCTTTTTTTCAGTCAAGCATTGGTACTTGAGAGGTATGTTGTCTTCTATTTAATATTTTTATCACCTTGAATTTGTGTCTCCTCCAAGCATTAGACTTGGTTCTTAACACTGTAGATAAGAAATTTCTTTTTTAAAACATAAGGGCGTGCATGCTTTGTTTAGCCTATGTTTTCATTTGTGTAGCTAACCAAATTTTATGGTTCCTTAAAGAGTGCCTTCACCCAAAAACACTTCACCATGTTTCCAAAAAAGTGTGATTTAAATACATCTGCTTTAGAGATCAGGTGAACTGTGTGAAAAAAATATTTTTAAAAAGCCTCCTGTAACAGGGAAAGATTTCTCAGTGCAAGCTTAAACAAATGTTTTATTTAAACTCTTGACCTTTTGGAAAATACTGAACAAAGAAGAAGGATAACATTACTTGTAATTTTATATAGGCAAAGATACCTTTTTTTTTTTTTTGACTAACAAATTTTTCTTAAAAGCTAAATATAATTCTTATGCTATAAAAGCCAATCAATTAAGACTTAAAAAAGACAAACCAGTTTTAAAAAGCTAATGACCTTTTAGAATATATTTTATGAATAAGAAAAAAAATTAAAATATATTTTGTAATTTTAAGGGAAAATATTTTTTTCCTATAATATTAAGTCAAATATCATGACTATAAATGTGACTATATTAATTTAAATAACACAAACGCAAGACACAGTACAGCAAAGCACTTGAAAAGAAAATGTTTTTATTGATTTGAGAGAGAGAGGAAGGGAATGAGATAGAAACACTGGCTGCCTCCTACACGGAGCCTGCAACCAGGACATGTGCCCTGGCAGGGAACTGAACACCGACCTCTTGGTGCTTGGGTCAGCGCTCACCCACTGAGCCACTCCTGCCAGGCGCAAAGCATTTTTTAAAATACAAAACACAGTGGGGAAACGGGCTCAGTCTTCTCAGTAAACAAATAGGAATTCTAGTGCAATTTCTCAACTGCCCGACTCAAGGAGGTAAGTAGCTTATGGTGATTTTTAGTCTGGCACAGTGACAACTTGCTTTTTATTCTGTTTGGATCTTATTTTACATAATCCCAACTGGTTTTTCCCCTAAGCAGATGTGTGCTGCTTCCTTTTGTTTGTTTACTAGCATTTTCCTTATTCCATAAAAGATATTTTAGGTAAGTCTGGGTCTCTGCCTCTCAGCTCTCCCGTGTCTGCAGGCACGACTACAATAGTGCAGAGACCAGGAAACATGTTCTGCGTTCCTCAGACTTTCAAGTCACCTGTCCCTGCAGGCGCGGTCACAGCACTGCCTGCGCTGCGGGCTTAACATTTCCAAGCTGACGGCCCACTGACAAGGGGCAGCGACATGGGGCCGTCAGTATGCTAAGATGTACATAGCTTGGCCACGTCTCGTGCTAGGAAGACTTTGTTAAAAAATTTTAATATTGATTTATTCCTTCAAATACATTATCTGAACATTCAAACTTCTTAAACTTTAGGAACAAAATTTTCACATTCAAAGTATAGTTTACAAGGAACACACCCAGGAAGGTAATTTGTTGTCTGACCCAGGATATGGATAAAGATGATGAATAAAATGTATTTTACCAGCAGTTCTGCTCTGGCCAACATCTTGGTTAATGACCATGGTTTCATATGTGAGAAGAAGCTGCTAAATAAATCTTAGGCTAAACAACAGACTTGGCCTGTAATTCAGAGGGAATATTCGAAGCATGTGAGTGAACAAATAAACTGTTTTTGGGAGACAAAGTAAAAACTTGTCCATTATAATAATCTTAGCTTCTGGAAGGTAAAGTTTGAATTTTCAGTGTTTTACTCACTTTAAAAAACAAAACAAACTCCAAGTTAGGTTTTCTTGGAGTCTTTGGTGTTTGCATCTTGCAAATTCAAACCATGAATGTGCTTCTGTCTTCCATGTACACTGCTTCTAGGAAGCACATCACCAAGTCACTGACTTCCTCACCTCATAAAAGACACATTTTAGCTTCAAGATTTTAGATTTGCGAGAAATAGCCTATACTTGAGTATGTATGTCAATCATGCTACACAAAGAACATTTCTAAAGTGTTCAGAAACTGTTCACAAATGCTTTTTTTCATCAGGTAGCTTTGCAGTAGGTTGACTAATGCAAGTCTCTATGAAAATCTAAAGATTGTCTCATGCAAGTGTTTTGAATTAGATAACCCCGTGGAAGAGTAGTCGGAATTATTTTGTCTTGTGGGCTCTGAGGCTGCGCGACATGGAAGTGGACGCTGGCTGTGCAGGTCACTGACATATGCCACCATCAGCTTATGCCTCTCTGACACACAGTCCAATACTAGATACCATTTTTCATTCTGCATTAATTTTTCTGTATCTTTCAGGTGCTGGTCAGATTCTTGGATTAACTTTTTAGATCTGTTCTGTAGACGAACAGAGGACTTCAATCTGCACGACTGACTACCAACCCTAGCCTCTTATCACAAAGTTTCACTTTGACTAAATTAACCGTTACACATTTGGTTTCTTTCAAAAGTGTCCTGAAGTCCACTTCTTTCTCTAATGTATTCTTCAAACTGTTTTCCTGCCACTGGAGAACCTACTGTACTGAAGATCTTCCCTAATGATTCATTGAACTTCTACATGGACGTTAAGGTAATCACATCAGTGTCATCCAGAAGTTGCCTCTTTTTTTGGTGTTTAAGGTGTTCATTAAGCTTCTCTTTCTCCTCTCTCTCCAACAAAGATCTAGATTCCCAGTGGTGATCTTTTCGAGTATCAGATCATGACACATCTGAAGAACCTTCCCTAACAACCCTGAGGGGTAATGCAGAAGGATTTTTCAAGAAAGTTCCAGTTATCTCCTGAGGTCAGTACACCCCCAATCCTACATCTCATACTGTTTTCCAAAGCAGCTTTAGTGACTTATACAATGTTGTATGTCAATTATATCTCAGTTTTAAAAAAAAAACAGAAAAACACAGCTTTATTGAGGTATAATTCACATAAAATACATGTAAAATGTACATTTCAGTGGATTTTTGTATATTCACAGAGTTGTGCAACCAACACCAAAATCTAACTTTAGAATGTTTTCATTACCCCACAAGGAAACCCCAGATCAAGTTATTTTCCATTCCATCCAGAGCCCCAGCAAGCACTAATCTTCCTGCCTATTCCACACATTTCATATAAATGGAATCATATAGTATACAATCTTTTGTGATTGGCCTCTTTCACTTAATGCTTTCAAGGTTCATCTGTGTGTAGCACATATCAGTACTTCACTCCTTTTTATTGCTGAATAATGTTTTATTGTATAGATATACCACATTTTATTTATCCATTTATCAGTTGGTGGGCATTTAGATTTTACGTTTTGGCCATTATGAAATAATGCTGCTATGAACATTTGTGTACAAGTGTTTTGTAGACATGTGTTTTCAACTCTCTTGGTTGTAAACCTAGGAGTGAAATTGCTGAGTCAGGTAACTATGTTTAACCTTTTGAGTAACTGACAGTCTGTCTGTTTTCCAAAGTGGTTGCACTCTTTTATGTTCCCACCAGCAATGTATGAGGGTTCTAATTTCTCCACAGCTTCACATGTTTTCATCTCCCTTTTTTATTACAGCCATCCTAGTGCATGTGGTGGATGTGTAGTATCTCATCGTGGTTTTGATTTGCATTTCCCTGATGAATAACGGTGTTGAGTCTCTTTCTATGTGCTAATCAACCATTTGTTTTACTGGTTTCTTACAAAAACTGCTAACAAATCCAGAAGCATTTTCAAAATACAGGGTATGTTTTTCAGTGCTAAGAGAATTGTTCTGATGCAGCTTTTCTTTGCTCTGTGACATGCCACGCTCCATGTTCTGATATTTTGCTGGAGTGTTATACATACAAACAGTATGACTTGGCTTTGAGCTGCCCATCATTGAGCCTAAGTTCAACAAAACACATGGAGACTGAAAATATTTCAGAATAATGCTGTTATTAAGATTTTGCTAAAGCAAGTGTTTTTTCTAACTCCTTGAGCTGCATATTGCCTTGTGTAATCATCATCCGGATTGCATCCTGTAGGAGAAAGTGAAACCTGGTTACTGTTTTACCTGGTTAATCAAGGCACAGCTGTATTATTGTATTTGTTAAAGTCAAGAACTGATACTGAGAATTCAACCTGCTGCATATTAGGGAAGCCAAAATCTAACAATCAGGGCTGCACAATGTCTCACAGTCACACTTTCCAGACCATCGTGCTGTAATATTTAAAATCTTTTTGTCTTTTTGCGTATGTGGGTGGTTGGGTAGGTGGGGGGGCTGTTAAAAGTCAGGTGATGCTAGAGTAGAATGTAGATATAGCAAAGATCATAAAATTTTAAATATTTAAGAAAGTGGAATATCAATAACATTAGAGCAATTATCAAGATATATCATCTCTGTGACATTTATATTCCAAGATGTCTAATAAATGTTCTTTAAAATTCACTGAACAATACAAAACAGGGTCAGGGCCTGTGGTTACCATGATCTTGCTCTTACCTCTTCAGTGGCACTTTTGTTTCTTTTGAATTCCTCCCTTGCCCAGTCCTTCAGGTATTTGCGATCAGAATCATTTGGAACTTGCCGAATTGCTTGCAAAATCCTTCTGTAGAGGAGAAGAACTTGTTGCCTTCTCAAGAACTGTACAGGGGAGGAGAAATGGCAATTACAGCCACACGATCGACAGCCCAGTTTACTTTAGCAAACAAACTGTAACCAGATAACTTCTTTGGTCCTTAATTTTGAAAGAGGCAAAGAAAAATACCTTTTTTTTCCTTTTAAGAAAACAAGTTTATTTGGGTTGTTTGCTTATCCCTCTCTCAAACATAAGAACCCTTAAAATCAAGAGCTGACTACTGGGCAGAAAATGGGCTACCAGACTCCTAGAAACTCCACAATAACAGCACTTTCTCTAAATTAACGCAGTTGTTAAAAACCGCCGGTAACTTTTGCCCTTTAACGTAGCTCAGTGTGACTGGCAGAGTAGTTTTCACCCTGACCGCTGGGCAGCTGATGAATCAAGGCTCCAAGAGCTCTAGAGCCTGCCCCCCCTTTCCAGCCAGGACGGGAAGGCGGGTTTCAGCCTGGCCCCGCCCCCCGCCCCCCAGGGGCCCCTGGGCGGAAGCCACGCTCCCTCCCGCCCAGGCCAATCAGTGCGCGCGCAGGGTCACCAGCCCCAGTAGCTCCCTAGACGCATTCCGTCGATTGTGTGTAGGGAGAGATGGAGAATTGAGCTTAGACCCGGGGAAGCTGTCCTAGAAGGCCCAGAGGACAGTCGGTACCTGCTTTAGCGTTAGCGTCGCTGAGGGTAAGCGGGAGGCAGCCATGTCCTCCAGACAGCCGGTCGCTAGAGCCACAGCGCGCAGGAGCGGAAGTGAAGGACAGGGGCGGGGCTCGGTTTCCTGGGAGATGGCGGCAGGTGGTGCGTCAGCCGAGAGAGCCGGCTGGGCTGTGCGTTGTGTTAGCCTGTTTCTCCGCGGGCAGGTGGGATGGCCGTCTCTGCGCCACAGGCTGTTGAGAAGAGGAGTGGAAAGGCGTTTAGTACACTTCCTGACACATGGTTATGAGTTTCACTAAGTGGAAGTTAAGTATTTTGGAGGTGAGGGGAAAATTATTCTGGTGTGCTCCTTTTGAGCTTTTTGAATGTGAATAGTTGGAAATACTAGAAGTTATGTTATTTTCTTTTAAAATTTGCGTCCTGCTCCTTTGTTTCTCATTCTCATCCTGCTCTTTTTCTGTTGCGTTCTCCCGGCAGCGTGGTAATCTTCATGCTTTAAATGGCTGCCCCACTGCAGCTTTAAGAATTGTGTCATTCGTAAGGAAATGCACACCCTGAGCCTTTATTTCTTCATAATCGTTTTGTCTTCCCCACAACACACACAAGTCCTTAGGTTATATTACTATCAGGGGGGTTGGTGAATATTTGTTGTATTACTTTTCCAAATAGGATTGTTCCAAATTAAAATACATCGAAACATGTTATGTTTACTTATGAACATTTACAAAAATGTTCAATTCCCCGTTGCCTCACTTTTTTGAACCTTTGGTGCTTCCTTTTCTTAGTCATGTTCTGGCTGCGTAACCTCTGTGAAGTGAGATGATAGCATCGGAGTTGTATGTGTAATGACAGGATGTGGGCACAGAAGCACTGTAATGATGAGCTTTTTTGGACATTACCAGGTACCCCCCATGACCACATATGCAGAATTTGCCTACTCATTATCGATAGCAATTCGTTGATTTTTTTCTTTTAAATATTAGTGAAGTTAAATAGCTCTGACCAGTTTCAGTTACACTTATTTTGTGAATTGTCATGATTTTGGTCAATTAATGCTGATTAAGACTTTAATTTTATATGGGCTGTTTGCCTATAATTTTTTATTTTGGTCCTTTATGTAGCTTTAAGTCTCTATACAATAATGTGTATTTTTGAGACTTTTCAATTTTTTGACTTTTTCATTATTGTTTAAAATATTTACTCCATCAATAATTTGATTCATGGCATGATGTGGATGTTCTTTTTCAGCTGCTAAGTTGTAATTTCAATAACATTTATTAAAGTTTATTCCTCTTCCTGGACTTTATGATGCCCATATGGTAGATTCTCTTAGGTTGTGAATAATATGTTCAGGATTGTTTTATCTGGGATTAGTACATTGTTTTAAATTTTTGTTGGGTTGTTTATTATCTGGCAAGAAGACTCCCCTGTAGTTTCTTGTATGAATCTTTTTAATCTTCTGTATAACCTTTAGAAATGTTTGTATCATTTCTCTCCAAATCATCTTAGGATCTTTATTAAAATTTTGACAGTGTTCGATCTATAAATTATTCAAATGTGTGAGAACAGGTATTTTTACCCCATTTCTTCTTCCCATCCAAAACATTCGTTTATGCTAGACACTGGTAATACCGTTATGTATCATATATGCTCCCTGGGCCTCACTCTTTGGGCAGGAAGACACGTAAGTCCAATGTAGTGTTACAGATGTCCCAGTTCATAATATGGGAGCTCATTCGTTCTGGAGGGCTTATCTGAGTTACATGTTTGCCAGAAAAGCAAGTAGGTAAGAGAATTCCAGAAAAAGAACTTGTGGAACACTGGCAGATTCTAGGATCCCTGTGGTTTGCTGTGATCACATCAGATACTGTGGTGGGGATGCAGGGAGAGAAAGGACAGCAAAGTCAGGTCACGCTAATAGCCTCTTCACAACAGGGACCTCTGGAGGAACTTTTGAAAGATCACTTAATACTCAAGGCTACAGATTTAAAAGAATTACAGCTGCAGTGCAGTCAGAGGAGAGCAGAAGAGGAGAGAAGATAAATGTCCAGAAGGTAGAGCAGACAAGACTGGGGCTTGAATGAAGAAAGTAAAACAGATGCAAATACCAAATAGCATGTGAGCAGAAGCATGTCCTTAGTACCTTCCGTGACTCATGCTCCTTACCCGGGTCCAGAGTCTGCCTCACCCCCGCCCCATCAGTCCCTGATAGGTCTCCTGTGACTGCTCCCATGCTTCCTAAGCCTTTCCCAGTCACAGGACAAGCTGAAAATGGCACTCTTACATAGCTGCTTACTGGAATTCCTACTGTCCCAGACCCTATGAGCCACTCCAGGCAAAGGGAATCGGCTCTTAGCACACAAATTGGGAAGCTCTGGCTTGGATGGGCCTATCAATTAAAGGTAGAGACGACAGACCACTTCACTGTCAAAATGTTGGTCTTTCCCTACCAGATCCAACCCTGCTGGAAGAGTAAACTCACTGCCCCATAAAGAGCTTTGAACAATGAAATCTGAGGGGAAGAGATGTGTCATTTTGGAGCAGAATCTTTACAAGCCATTGTGTGTTCTCACCAACTTGTCACTTCTCCACAAGGCCTGCACGCTGCTACTCACCCTCCATGGACATGAAAACAAAACCTTACTGTATGTAACGCCACCGATGGTGTGGGGGCATTTAGTCTAAGGCAGTGAGTCCCCCTTTGTACTCCTCTGTTGTATTCCATTAAGAATGGTCACAAATTATATCACCAGTGGTATATTTTTTAATAGTTTTCAGAATATAAGCTGTGTAGCTTTTTAGAATAAAAAATAATGATATAACATCAGGTACATGCTTTAGGACACTTGGTTAAACACACAAGCAATCTGTGTCTTTGATGACCACCTCAAAGGAGTTGTAAACTTCACAGTGTAACTTGGTAACAGACGTGGGGACAGATGCTTACATCATGGCATGTTGTCTACACAACATTCTGACGGTCAGAACTTAGAACACAGCACACAGTTTCAAGTATTCAAGCACTGCTTTCTGGCCAAGTAAAAACTACCTAAAAACTGTTGATGTATTTTGACTGGGGAAAAAATAGAAGATGTAGCTGCTTAGTCCTTCTGGATGCAGCATATTTTTTCCAGAATGAGACTGGCTCAGTCCAGCTTGAAAGCAGTGTGAGGAATGATTCTTCCCCTTCACTGTTAAGAAAAAAAGGAACTAAAGAAATAAATTACTACAACAGCAGGGGCCATGGCACTGAGAGAATGAAATAAACAACCGGACAATCATCTTCCATCATTGCATAGTCTCCGAAGCAGCAAATGTGAAGGACACTGAAAGCCACTTCATTTTACACAGCACAAGGATCATCTCTCTGATGACTTGAGCTCCCACGATGGCTGGTTGCTTTATGAGCACACGCATGTAACAAGAATCCTACCCCCAAAGAGAAGGCGGTTCCTTTCACATGAAGCACAGTAAGAAAACACTCAGACTCTGAAGACTGCAGCTGTCTCAGCCACTTGACAGCTTCCTTCAGGGCCTTTAGCCAAAGGACTGGCACAGCCCCATGCTCCTGGCAGCATCTCCTCAAGGCAGGTGTCCAGAGTCCCTTCGAGGGAAAGCAGACAGCTGGGCCCTAAGAGTGGAGTTGGCCTCCTCTCAGGCTTGGGCTTCCAAGACAGGCCAGCTCTCTTCTCAGGTACAAGACAAGACGTTCCTTCGCTGTCCCAGGTCTGTTATAAGAACAATAGCCTAGGCAAAGCAAGGAAACTGAAAGTTTTTTCTGTGCTCTGAAGTCATATAAAAATGTACATTGCAATAAAATTTTCTGTAACTGTTGAATTTTTATAAATCAGATCTAAGATAAATTTTAGAGCTGTGACTTCAGAAACAGTTGTCCAAAAGGGAGCACTTGGGCAAGAAGTGTGACATCTTGACCATGGCTTAAAGCCTCAACTTTGGACTAAGTTCTTGCTGGTTTATAGGTGGTCAGAGGCTGTCACCAACTCAAACCACTGCCTGAGAGCATCGCTGAGTGTCTCGGGGAGTGCGTTCACATCACGAAGAATTATGTAGAAGGGGAATGGGAACTCTTCCATGTAGGATCGGATTTCAGGCAGCTCTCCAGGTCCTTTAAATATTGGTACTTTAATGTCCAAGATAGAATCCTGTCAACAGAAGACATTTTGAAATAAAATCAGTGTCCTTGGCTAGCTCTTCCATGATCTCTTATGCTGACATTTTTTAGGCCTCCTGTGTGTAATTTCTGCATATGAAAGTAGTTTTCATTACTAAGTAAAACAAAACTTTCAGAACTCATTGAGGAGGAAGCACCCCTGCTGGGAGAACAGGCACTGAAAGGGAGGGAAAGGGATATAAGAAAACCCGATTTCCCTGTGTGTCCCATTCTCCACTTGGAATAATTCACATTAAATCTTCAACTTGCTATCTAGGCCTTCACCTGACCTGCAGAGACAGTGCTTTCCTTGGAACAGAACTGCCCTGTGTCTTCCATTTGGCGACTGATCCCTGCTCAGAGGAGGGCACGGCTCAGGTACAAGTAACTGGAAAGGCCTTGTCTACATTCCCATAAGGAAAGGGCCCATTACCAGGCGCTGGCATAGGAAGTAGTTAAGGAATGCTCTCTGGAGTCGGCCTGAATCCTGGTTTTCCTACTCATCACCTGTAATGTGTTTCTGTCCTTCACTAAAGTGAGAATAATCCCCACCTCACTGGGTTATTGTGAAGTTAAATGAGAAAATAGTTACAGAGTACCTAACGGAACATGGTGAGTGTTAGGAATTTTGAGTGTGATGGTGCAACCCAGACCATATTTCAGATAGAACAAACTGAAGAACATCCCCAGAAAATCGGCTTTTAGTTGTCACTCACCCGTGAACTGGGATTATCCAACACAACAAAAATGACAAAGATGTTTGCATTCCGGGCAGCCTGGACTGCTGCCAGGACTCTGTCTTTGCCCTCAAGGAAGAGGCCGCGTCCATCAGAGACCACCAGGAGGAGTTGTGCAGTGTCTGTAGTGGCACATACAGCAGGCGAGGAAGGAAGGAAACAGAAGTCCATTTTTAACAATAATGCAAAACTACCAAAAGTAAGACAAATTAGTATAGGTTTTCTCTTTACTACTGACATCAAACAGATCTCTGGAACTAATGAATTCTGGGCACAAGTAAAAGTGGCTTCTAATTAGATATTTCAGATGTCCAAGGAGTGCGCTCGCACACACACAGCTTCTGTCAATAAAACAATTTCCTAATAGTGTTTCAGAGAATGAATGTCAGATTTAGATCAACTTCATTGGAGAGCAACTTATATGAGAACAAAAATGTAGTACTGAGGAAGCACAGAAGAAAGTACCCATCAGAAACCTGGAACTGTCTCTTTCGAATTTTTGCTAATTTCTGTATGCTTTTTTCCTTGAAATTGACTTTTTTTTCACTTTATCTTTATTGTTGAGACCATTACAGATGTCCCCCATTTAACCCTACTGATCCGGCCCTCCCCACACCAATGTCCAAATCCATGGGCCATGCCCATAAACATGCAAGTTCCCTGATTAATCTCTCCCCACCCACACCCCTCTCCCCACCTTCCCTCTGAGATCCCTCAGTTTGTTTCAAGCTTCTATGTTACTGGGTCCACTTTGTTCATCAGTTTATTTTGTTTATTACATTCCACATATAAGTGAGATCATTTGGTACTTGTCCTTCTCTGACTGGCTCATTTCACTTAGCATAATGCTCTCTAGTTCCCTCCATGCTGTGCCAAAGGCCAAAAGGTCCTTCCTCTTCACAGCCGCATAGTACTCCATGGTGTAAATGTGCCACAGCTTTATCCACTCAAAACTTAAATAAAAATATTTAGCTACATATAGTGTTATCAGCAAAAGATTGTAGTGGCTGAAGGTGGGCTATCTTTCTGTGTCAAAGACTCACTTCAAAAAGGAGGTTTCTCCATGGCACAGTCATGACAGAGATTTCTGGAAAGAGCTAGATAAACACTGGGGCGTTTCACGCTCCAATCAATCATGGCTGGCTGGATTAGTTGGTTTCCTCTGATGAAATACTATACAACATTCATACTTAATTCCACATGCCTTGCTATTTTCATAACTCTCAACTCATAAGTATATATTAGTTAATTATAAACTAGTTAATTGGTCTCTAATTCCTTCACTGATTATAACCCTCATGGGTATGAGTTCAATAAAAATTTCTGAAGAAAGGAGTAAAGGATTCCACGAATGCCTAATACCGCTCTATTTCCTGCTTCTCTCTTTCCCTGTAGAGCATCCACGTTAAAAGATGGTGATGGGTGCAGTGAGACGAAGCACACAACAAAATCATTTGGTCAACAAAGGTAAAAGAATGCAGCTCACCTGGACTGACGTTCTGTGAGAGCTGCTGAGCAGCAGCAAACATGTTGGCTGCCGACTCTAGAAACTAAACCAGAAACAATTAGAAAACTATTTAAACTCTATTCCCATTCTTAGGGAGCCTGAAGTTATTTCTGACACATAAATGATTATCAGATAACCATGTCAGATCTACAGGGAATCCAACTGTCCCTTCAGCCACCTATAGTCAAAGATCACTGCTTGGCATTTACCCTTGGGTACTGGCATTATCAAACAGAGATGCATGCATGTCTGACCCCCCCCTCACTAGTGTTCTACAAGACACCCCAAAGGAAAAAATACTTTTGGTGGCAAGAAACCACAAAATGTCCAGTGCAACATAAAGAGACTAAAGGAGGGCAGGAATTAGGTCAGAATTATTATCCCAGGTTATCTTTTGAACTTGTGTCAACACAAAGCAAGTCACTGGCTTTATTTTACATCATTTTTTCTCTAGGCTAAATGGGGAGAAATTGGCCTTAACCCACCTGATAAGAGTCCTGGGAGATGGTTTATTTTTCAAAATGTTCCAAACTTCTCAGAAAATCAAAGATACACAGTCAAAAATGATCTTTGAGAGACTGAGAAAAAGAGGTTACACCATGTTTAATAATGGGTGCTAAGGAAGTTTCTATACCAGAAGTACACAGGCTGGGGTTTACGACTGTTCTATATTGTAAATTTTACCTGTTCTAACACCATATTGAGAGGAAGCTGTTCTAAAAATCATGCCTCCTCTAAACGAGAAGAATAACTGTACAAAAGACATTTGATGTTATCAGCATACCTGAGCAATCTTGGTTTTCCTTTGCTGGAATTTACAGAGCCGTAGAATCTGGGAGCCCGAGTAATCACTGAACTGTTCATGGAATGGGTGTAATAGCTTTACGGACTCTCCAAAACTTGGGGGGAAAAGCCAAATACAATGGGGGTTATTTTTTTGTCACGTGAACAAAATAACCATAGAAGGCTAGCTTTCCCAGTGTGATTAAAAGGCACTCTTACCTGCACACTGCAATCTGACCGACTTCCAGAAGGGTTAGAGCATTTCCAATCACAGCCAAAGATTCAAATGCAAGCTGTGAAGTAGAAAGTTAAGGGTTCAAGGAATCAGAATATCCTCTAGACCAGTGCCTTTCAACCTTTTTTATACCAAGATTCCCACAGAAAACTTTTTTTGGTATGGCCCATAGGGGAACACCATCAATATGGTTATTCACAACCAACCCAGAGGCTTTGGTGTCCTTAGGCCCTGGCTAATACCACAAATGCTGAAACCCAGAATCCATTGCACTGGACAGCATCCAATAAGAGTGGTCTTTTAAGACATTTGGTACATAGATTTAAAAAACTTCTTTTTGACTACATAATTTTTAAAAAACAATTTATTCTAATTATAAATAAATGACAACAAAGTTTTAAATTCATATAGAAGATGTTGGCTTAATGTTTAGCACTTGATATGGTAATGTTAGCTGCTATAAGTATCATCACAATCAAGTGTTCTACATCCATTATTTCAGTTAGTTTTCCTAACAACTCTGTGAGTTTGAGGTATTGTTATAATCCTTATTTCTCAGATTGACACTTAAGAAATAACTGCCCAAAGTGGCTGGGATCTGAACCCAGGTTCAGAGCTTAAACTTTTTCCAGCAGAGCCTACATATAGATTTTAGGTTGCTCATTGGCTCATGCTGCATAACAGCATCACTGCAAAACACACTCTTCAGTGTCCATGATATTAATGAGTAATTCTACTCAGGCTCCTACACCTTGTTAATACTGACAGAACACTAAGTCTAGATAATTTCAGACTTTAAAAATATATATATTCCGGTATTATGTTGTGCATGGTCTGAAGAAGAGTAGTACACTGTACTTTGTGAAAATACACATTGTCAGATTTGCTTACTCTACAGCTAGATAATAGCACAGCAAGGCTAAGAAACAAAACAATTATAAAAACCTATAACAGTAAGGGACCAAAATATTTGAGACATCTTGAAATTTCCTTTTGAACTCTTTAAATTTTAGGTCCTCTCAAACATGGTACATTCTCAGAAAAGACTAATTGGTATTTCAAAGTGTTTTTTCCAGGTCATATTTAAAACAGTTGATGGCCCATGGAACAAGGTTTGATGTTAAGTAGCTTCTCTTCCTTACCTGTTTGGTGTGGTTGTCTACCATGCTAGAAGAGTCATCGATAGCCAAACAAATCTGGTACTGGCGTTTACTGGGCTTGGTCCTTCGGAGCCAAATCTTGTCTTTTCGAAACTGACTAGCAATGTATGGGATGACCTTCCGCATGTTTAGTCGCTTCCCAGTTCGATAGTCTCCCCTGTTAAATTTACCCAAATGGGACAAAGATTAGTTAAAAACTGCTCATCCCTTGAAAACTTTTTAAAGGATGAAATCATATTAATAATACCTTATCACCAATTATACCAAATAACCAGTAACCTGGCACAATGAGAGGTATTACTGCAATTGAGGTTTAAGGGCCAGGATCTTCTTGATCAGCAGACAGAAAAACTGGCTATGTATGTGGCAATCATGATTAGGTCCAAAAAAGTAAGAGAGATTTTTAACATTAGAAAAAAATGTTTGCACTGAATATTAAGTCTTGGATTCTCTTTTCTGTTCTACAGCTATGATTTTGGACCCATCTTTGAAAAGATCTAGGTGAGTAACATGCAGCAAAATAAGCAGCTCACACAAAGGCTCAGCCAATTTTCCCACCAGTTATTAATGAATCGGAGGAACTGCATTCATACCAAACTTCAGAAACTCATTGTAGATAACAACATGACAGCAGGCTAAGGAACACCACACTGCCTGTGCAGCAGAAATGGCAACCCAGAGCCGGCGTAATAAGCGGGTAAGTGTTGAGCTCAATGGAAAAGGCAATACAGTAAGTACTGCCACCTTTTCAGGACACTGCAAGTGTGTCCGATGGAGAAGACTTACTTCAGCTTGGCTGCCTGGGTGGGCTCTAATATGAGACGAAGCTGTTCACACAACTGCTGTGAAAGAGGTGCAGTTAAGATCAGGTAACTCTGCCACATCTCAGTTGCAGCCTTTTCCTGTGACAACAGCAACAACACGTAAGTTACCCCGAGAATGTCAGAGCTAACCAAAGTCATTACAGCAAGACAGTCTGATGCTAAGTAGTAGAAAACAACTTGTATGAACTTTCTCAAAGCATTTAAAGCTTTTCTTAGCTCTAATTCACTTGATTAAAAATGCCTCTCCTTCCACCAAGACCACAATCCACAGTTCCAACTGAGAAAGAATGAAACAGGACAGTAAAACACTGGAATTCGTGACCAAAACAATGCCTTATTCACATCCCCTACAGAGAGTATAACCTGTACCCTTCATGTGGAGAGGGAGCTGTGAATGGTAATTTTGGTGTCAACAGATCCAGTCCCTTAATCATGGACTCTCAGGGTCATGTTTCAAAACCAAAAGTGACAAGTGCAAATCTCAGTAACACATTCAACAGTGTCCTTATTTCCTGGACATAAAGCTCCGTGATTTTTTTTGCCAGCTACGACAGAGCAGTCAATACACACGTGTGGTGGTGGTGATAACAGACATAATGCAAAGTCATTAAAAATGAAACTTCTGGTTGATCTATACTTCCATATTACACCAGCTGGCAATGCTCTAGGTGGCCTATTCTGAGGATGACATGGTACCTTTTTGCCCTGTTTTTCAATCATTGTAACTTCTATTACATCCATTACAGAGAGCAACAGAAGTAAAAAAAATTTATTCACATCAGTTTCTTAATTAAGCTACAGGTTTAGTGGCAAAGCAGGCAATGGATAGACTTGGACTTTAGGATTGTAATTACATTTTCTATATACTCAGTCCTTTTTACAAAGGTACTGGAGCTAAGAACCTATTAAGTTTGCTGTCAAGATATTGTATGAAAATAGCAGTCACTTACTTCTTCTGGGTTTCCAGGTTCATGTGGCTGCCACCTTTCCAGCTGTCTCTCCAGTTCCTGTCTTAGCTCATCGACATCTTTTAAAAAGGGCTAAGAAGAAAAAACTACAGATGAGAGGCAGCCCAGGTTAGAATTGCCAACTCACTGTCTGTCTGCCTTCTTCCCTGCAGTATGAAGTCCAAGTACATATCCCCCAAGACATAAAACTTAAGCAAATTTAAGGCCACAGTAAGAAGGTGCCAGACAACAATTCTTCTGTTTTCCATTTGTTGAGACACAATGGATAAAGGAAATTTTAACATTTATAAACCAAACCCAGCAAAACAAAACCAAATCCCCAAGAAGACGACTGCCATCAAGTCAAACAATTGGGGAAAACAAGTCAGTTACTCACTTCTCCCTAAATGTAGACATTAAGTCAAAGATTCCTGCAGCTTAACCGACATAAACTGTTAACTGTCCTGCAGACTCCTTGTACAAGGACAGTGGACTTGAGAAGAGAGATGTGAGAGCTGGCGGCCCGAGGACCAGACCTACCATCACCCAGGGCAGGGCACAGATTACCCACTGTGACCCTGGGATTAACCGTTAGAACAGTGTTTTATCTGCTTAGAGAACACCTGTCATACCAACAGTGATCCTAAAAATTTTGATAAGGATGATACCCCAAAACAAACAGCTATTCCATCAAGTTTTAAAGACAAAGATTTGAAAGGAATCTATAATTACATTTTGTCAACTTACTAAAGCAGTAACTTGTGAAAGGTTCCCCCCTCCCCCCCCTTAATCAACCCACCTCTACTTTTGAAAGTTTTAGTACCTGGAAAATCGTGTCCACAAGGAAGTGATGGGCTGTATGAATGGTCGAATCTCGGCTTCTCTCTGGTTTCTCATTCTCTGTCTCCTTGTGGAATTTGTCTGTCCTGGGGTCTTGGTCTTCCTCTGTTTTAACACTTTTGGTCTCCATTTCCATCTCATCAAAGCCTATTTTCATACAAAGATAGAGTTTTACTTACCTTAATATTAGCATAAAGACTGAGCCTTCATGGTTGCCTGTCAATTCTAACAATTACTCAAACTTCACTCATTCCCTTCAGCACATCTCCACATGTTGGTTCCACATGTTCTTTCTCTGAAACAGTCATTACCAATTCTTACTCCCCTAACTCCTCTGCACCCTGATGTTGAGGTGGCTGTTCTGCAGAAGTGGGAATAGGGGAGACTGTAATTTATGTTGACAAGCCCCAAAGAACTGTGTGATTCTTTAAACTATGTGCATGTAGAACTTTGAAAACTAAAAACTAAAAGAAATCATAGTTCCATTTTATAGACGAAGAAACTGAGGCAAAGAAAAGATGAATAATTTGCCTTAATCTGTGAAGTCAGTAAGAGGCAAAGTCTGGGTTTGAAACTATGCAAGTCTGATCACAGAGCTGTGCCTTTCCCACTGTCATATCATGGCCAATCAGCAGTACTAACACCCCTGAGAGGGCAGGAAGGAAGAAGAAAAAGCTTTTGAATTTGGCACGTTCTTTTGAATTTGCATTTATTCCATTACTGACAGTAAATTTTTACACTGCCAATATTTTTAATGTGTTGAATATATTTTAAAAATAAACTTGTAATAGTCATTGGTCAACTATGAAATTGAACTGTATGTAAGGAGTTTTGTTACTTTCTCACATGCATTGTCCCCATTCTACTTTTAAAACATTTTATAGCATTTTAATGTATATTTTCATGTAATTGAAAACATTATTTCTCTAATATTCAAGACTATACCTTCTTGTCACAATTGGAGTAAGTGCTCTATTCTGTTCTGCATGTTTTAAAAAGGCTGATGGGATTTTGTCTGAAACGCAAGTTTCAGTGGTATCCTTGAAAGTGTCCTGCAACACCACTCTTCCACCTTTCCACTCCGAAACGAAACACAGTGACATTATTATAGGCAAATGAATGTCTAAGCCATGGGTTTAGCACATGGAAATAACAGACCAGACTAGAATACAGTACAAGAGAAGTAATTTCTCTAAGAGAGCTTAGGTGGGGTCTGTTTCCTATAAAACTCACCAGAGCTTGCCGTGGTCCCTGACTTGACCTCCTCTGGCTTCAGCTGCTCTGTGTCTACCGGTTTGAGCTCCTCCTGCTCCTCCATGTCCATGAAGATATCCTCTCTTTCCTCCTCCTGATCCTTGCTGGAGTCTTTTGCAGATTGTTGCTGCTCCATGCTGGCGACATCTGTTAACAAAGTGCACACACACATAGAAAGCCTAGGTCTTTGCAGAACAAAGTAATCATGAGTGGGCGTTATTAATGCTAGTTCTGCCACTAATGGGCTATGCGGCTTAGACACAGTGCTGGGCTTGTCTGTGCCCAAGATGTCCTACTGACCTATTGATGTAACTGCCTATTCTCTACCCCCCCACCCCCAACCACTGAAGCTACAAGAATATAGTGTAACTACACATGTGACCATAGAAGTAGGATGTTTAGCTGGGTTTCTACTGCTATGAACCAGAATAAACAGGCTGGGCACATGGCACATGATTCAGAGCAGCTAATGGAATCATCCCCCGTTACTGAGTTATGGGTGGAGAAATGGTAGTGATTAAAAGTATAGCACTTGGTATGGAAAGACCAATGTGGGAATCCCAGCATCCTGATCTTGGACAAGTTCTTAAACGTCTTTGGCTTTAGTGTGCTTGTCTATAAAATGGAGATATCCTTGCTCATGAGATGACTAGAGGAATCCCATGACCATGCAGCAACGGCTCAGAACAGTGTCTGGCACAAAGTAAAAGCTCAATCCATGGTAGCTGTTATGATTACTGTTTTATTATCCTAACAAGTAGGGGAAGAAGAGAAAAAAAGTAATCTGCAGAGGAATTGTTTTTGTACTATCCCCATAGGCAGGTATTATCAACAGTGTTTCACATATTAGGAATAAAATGGTGAAAAGGCACCAGACTAGACTGATGGATGACTACTCCCCTCCTATGTGATTTTTTCTCTCCCTTTTCACTTACAGAGAAAACACGTATTTCAAGTTCACTGCTTTTGCCATTGCAGGGAGCAACCTCAAGGTGATTGTGAAGAAATGTCCAGTACTCAGAAACCCTGAAATCAGTGCTGGGTTTGAATGCAGCCAGTGGTTATCAAGGATATCTTAAAAACTTACACTAAATCCAGAAACACTGAGCATCTGCACTTGGCTACAGACATCTTTAAACAAAAAACAATTAGTATTTCTGCACAGTTATTAGATGAAATAGTTTTTAAAAGCCATTCCCCTCCCTCCTAAGATGAATTTGTAGGAACACCTGGTGGGCACATAGTCATACAGCATACGCTCTCACAGAGAGCTGAGTGAGCAAAGAAGCCTTCCCTGCACCTACCGTAGGTCTGCGCATCATAAGGGTCGCTCCCTTGTTTAATGTGCTCAAATGCAGCCGCATCCTCCACCTGGGGCTGGGTGGGCTCCTGCTCTACATGGCTGTCCATATCCACAGTCCTCAGCCTCTTGTGCACATGCTCATTGTGATCACCCAGGGAGCGTTCATTGTCGGCCTGTCCAGGCTTCCTCTTAAAACTCTGTGGGAAATAGGAAATTCATCAGAGCCTTGTCTGTAATAGTAAAAAGACAAAATAAGCACAGTGTCCATTCACAGGGGGCTGGTTAAGTAAATTAGGTACAGCCACACAAAAGTGGAATTCAATGCAGCTATTACAAAGAATGGGTAGGTCTTTACATACACAGGACAATTTCTGATATAGTTTTATATCTGAATAAAGGCAAGGAAGCAAAGAAAGACACACATATGCACATCCACACATGTTGCACATGCAGAAAAGATCTGAAAGAAGGTAACTGGTAGCACCAATTTTCTTGGGTGGCTTAAGGACAGGGATAGGATGGAAACATTTTAGAGAATTGGTTTTTTATATACTAATTTTGTATCATGCATAAATTATACCTCATTAAAAAATTTATTTTTTAAACTCTAAAGACTATGGACATTGAAGAGTAATACTGGTTGGTGCTGGGCAGCAGCACATAGTACCAGACTCAGGCTCCATAACAGGAATGGGGGAGGGGATGGGTGGTGTATGTGTCTGTGTGTGTTTCTGCACAGGGAAGAAGGCCCAGTGATAGTTCCACTGGGAAGGCCCCAAAATCCTGGTCTACTAACCAGGGATGCCATCATGTCTGGTAGAACAGGGACAGCAAATGCAAAGAATGTGGCCTTTTTTTTTTTTTTTAATCACTATGTTTAGAGCATCTTTTTCTACATGCAGCCTTCACTTTAGTTTAGCTGAAGAGTGACGGACCTGTGTGCTTTTCCTGGTCTGTTTCTGGGAGGCCAGCCGGGCAACAAGGTTGGATTCATGGCCTTCTGCCTGGTTTGCGTCCGCAGCTCCACTCCCATGTTCCTGTGAAATCCAAGCCATAGAAAATGAGGGTGGAGGAAGCTATCAAGCATCTGGTTACTGTGCTGCACTGTGCACAACTTCTCTCACCATGAGTCTCATCTCAGAGTCAAATTATCACACCTGCCCACCTGCTCTGGAACTCACCCATGGGCAAAAACAAGCATCTAGTTCTTGACCTGCTACCACCACTCTTGGGTGGCTTTACTTTGCCAGGCTGATTAGTTCTTGGTTTATAGGAGTGTAGTGGCTCACTCTGGGCAGGACAGACCTGATTAGAAACCAGGCTTCATCAGCAACCAGCTGTGTACCCTGGAGATTGTCATTTAACTTCACTGAGGGTTATTTAACTCAAATGTAAACTGGAGAAAATAACAATAGTATTGGCTATCTTTTAGGGCTATTGTAAGAACTCACTGAAATAATGAAAATGCTTAGCATCTAATGGGTGCTCAATAAATGGGGTGGAGGAGGTGTAAGTATATAAAGTGGCTATTACTGGTGAGAAAACTGGGGCTTAGGCTAAAGGAGTTGTCAAAGTCACCACTGTAGCAGCAGGTCCTTTGACTCAGGGCTGTGTCACAGCATGCCAGTGGCCCAAACTATGGCCACATACAGAACACATCACCCAGGTCAAAAAAGAACTGCTTTGCTTGCCTATTGTTGCTTGAAGTCGGAATTCTATCTTTCTTTCCTTGAGACCGTTCTAAAAAAAATAACACGAATGCCCTGGCCTGGTAGCTCAGTTGGTTAAAGTGTTATCCCCATATACCAAGGTTGCTGTTCAATCCCTGATCAGGGCACATACAAGAATCAAACAATGAATGTATAAATAAGTGGAACAACAAATCAATGTTTCTCTTTTTTCCTCTCTCTAAAATCAATAAATAAAAGTTAAAAAAAAAATAACGTGAACCTGATTCTCCCCCAGAGAACTACCATCTAATAACTTTCTCATTAAGCCCATCAGTTAAATACACTATGTAGCAAATATTCTGGGGTTAGTTCTGGGAAGCATATAAAAACAGGTCTTCAATCATTTTCTCAATAACGAAAGATGATTTAGATGACAACAAATAAACATCACATGTAAACCAACTACTGCGATTTCAGACAGGGAGGAGAGACTCTTGTAAGAGGCAGCCGGCCAAGGGCCCTCACCTCCTTCCCTGGCTCCTTCTCAGGCGCGGCCCCGGCCAGCTCCGCAGCCTGCTCGCTCTGCGCGCTCTCCACCCCCGTCTGCCCGCAGGAGTGGTGCTCTTTCCTCTCCATCGCCTCCGGCACCTGCTCCTCTGTGCCAGAGTCCTCCCCTTCTATTTCCTCCTCCTGCAGGGAAATCAAACACAACATTAAATGCTCTGGGGAAGAAACATGAGGTGGGGAACCCCTGCAGTAAGCAGGCACCCACTCCTCACTGAGGGGAGTCTGCAAGGAGGGGACCAGCCAGGGAGGGTCTTAAACAGAAACTGAAAGCAGCACCACCTAGTCATGGAGAAGTATCCTAAAGGACATTCTAGTGGGAAGAAGATAATTCTTCCTCATTTTTTCTAACACAAGGGAAACCAGACCTCCACAGTACCTGAGGCTGGAGGCCTTGATCAACAGAGACGCCACTCTCTGCACCTTCCTCACTGGCTTCTGCATCATTGTCCCTGTCCTCCAGAGACTGCTGCTCCTCCTCTTCTGAGCTTTCTTCTGAATGTTCGTCTGTATCTTTGTTCTGGTCACTAGCTCCTGTGTCCATCTCTTCCTCCCCCTCCCTCTTGTCATCTTCACTGGAGCCTTCCTCAGGCTCCTGTTGACCCTGATCTTCATTCTGGTCAGCCTCAGTCTCTTCATTTATTTCCTCAGCCTCATGACCTGCTTCTTCAGTGTCCATTGGTTTTTCTTTAATTTCCAAAGGATTCTCTTCTGCATAGATTAAAAAAACAGAATTTTAAAAACAATATTACTTATGATAGGATGTAGTTACTCAAGTGTTTTGTTTTGTTACTTGAACCAGGAGTTGGCAAACTATGGCCTGTGGGCCTACTGTGGCCATCTACATGTTTCTGTAAATCAAGTTCTATTGGAATACAGCCATATCCATGCGCTTAGTTATGTGTTTACCCCATCCACTCCATTGCTTATGGCTCCTCTCTCACACTACAATAGCAGAACTGAGTACCGGTTACTTGCAGATATATTTATTACCTGACCCTTCACTGAAAAATGTTGCCTACCCCTAAT